TATCCTAAGTGTCACACATAAACAATATACCAATATGGCACATCCAAGTCAAATGACAGTTGAATAATAAAAAACAAAAAAAAACCCACCCCAAAACAGTTGAATAAAAAAAAAAAATAACGAAAAGGAAGCCAGTGGCATCTGAACCCACCAGGTATATATATATGTAATGTAAACATATGTGTGTGTGTCTGAAGAAAGGTCAGCGGTCCCAAAAGTCGGATTTTGACCATTTTGAGTTAAGGGTTGTACCTTATCGGAAATGGATGAGTGCGGAACACAGAGGTTCTTGAATGTATGAGATATCTCAAATGAGATATAATTGCACATTTTGCAAGGTAGGGTACAAAGATATAATTTTGAGAAAACAAGCTTTTACTTTTAAGTTAAACAAACTGGAGAACACATAGGCTACAAACTTGAAAAAAAAAAAAGAAGATTTTTTTAATGTACATGTAGATCTATTTATTCATGGAAAATTCATTTCCAATTTGGCGTTCAGTTGACATCAATATCATGAATGGAATTCAACGGTAAAACATGGCAGGGAAGAGAAAACGTGCTTCAACAATAGATTTTAACACCTTGAAGTTTTCATCATTAATTTTTTTATACCCTACCCTCAAAATGACTAAAAATAAAATATTTACAAGTCAAATCAGTGAAAACCCTAACACACTGTTAAAAAATGGAGGCAGCATCATTTTTTTATGGAAACACATTTTGATCAAAAAAGTGATTTTTTTTGGTAATTATCAGTAAAATATCAACCTGTAGCTCGAAACTGTCTCGGGCGACTTTTGGTACCTTTCTTTAGGCACACACACAAATACTCTTACGTGAGACACACTGATCCTAATAGTTTTTGCCGCAGTGTAAAATAACCTGTCATTCGGAACAAGCTGCCTCGCTCAATATGCAGGCTTTCCATATCAAAACAGGCAGCAGAAAATATTTGCATTGTAGACGTCAAGAAACAGTATGGAGACATGAACAAAAGACAGGTAAGTAAGAAGAAAAAGAAAATGCCCAAAACTAAAGGTCATAACAAAAACTAGAAAAGACTAGTTGAGCCTTAAAAAAAAAAAAAATCTCATATATATACATGACGTAAGCTGTATCTTTGTGGTTACGTATTGCTCGTCCTTCTGGAGAATGTTACGACTTACACTACACATCACCGACACACGGCTGAACACACGTGCGACACGTTTCATTCACAAGGAGCCCATACACACATAGCCCACGCACACACACACACACAGACATAAGGGTACACGTATGTTCCACACATTGTAGAACACTAGCACACAATTCTGCCGTAAGCTGACTAAACACCTTTTTTTCCCCTTCAAATCAGTTTCAAGAAAAAGAGATTTTTTTGTCAGTGTAACCATTAAAAAATAGAGTCATTCTGAAATTTGAATTCTAATTTACAAAAAAACTAGTCACAGATTCACTTGGATGTTTTTCACACAAGAAGGGTAACTGATTAGACTTTCGATTTAGCAAAGAAAAATTTTTGGCGTCAAAATGAAAAAAAAAAGGCATTTTGTCAGCGTAAGGCCCACATCTCCTAGCTGTCATACGTTCACACACTGGCTAAAACAACTGCTCCTTATTTCCTATCAAACATCTATTATTTATACATCTGTGTCTCCCCTCCTTCTTTTTTGTGTTTGTTACTATCTTGTAGCACCTCTATTCTTCGGAACTTATTGGGACCTGCTGCATTTTCTTCAATCATCCTTACTATTGTCATTTTTCCTCTTCTTCTTTGGTATGTTTGTCACTCTCTTGAGACCTGCTATTTCCGGGGTGCCTTGATAGTCGAAGCAGACTTTGTGCTGTTGAAGCTAGAGAGGTGAGCAGAGTAAGTCTGATTCCCTGTAAGGACTTCTCTGTTGACATCCACCCCTTGGCGCTCATATGACCTTATGCAGTCGTGAGCACCGTAAAACCTCTACTAAAAGTGGGATTTCACTGCAACATATCTTGCAAATAACAAACATAATAATGATGATACATATTATATTACAATGTACCACCTTGGTGCGTGACTTTGAAATGAAAAGTCACACTAGAATGTTCATTATTTTTTTGCTCTTCTTCAACTTCCTGCCCCTCTCTACACCTCTTTTTAAAAAATAGCAGTGTTTGAGTTCCAAACTAACGGCAGTATTGGTATTCTTTCTTGTCACACTGGCAAAAAAACTAATAATCTAGAATTAGAATTAAATCGTATGACAAATTTAGTGCAAACAAATCTTGCACATCTCTGAAAACTTCCTGTGAGACCTGTCAGCAATGTTTGATTTATTCACAATCATGCCAGCGTCTATGTTGTAACGGTCAGCCTCTTAACCTTGCAGACACAAAGGACGTGGTGAGTTTATCGACTAATTTTGTAATTTAAAAAAACACTAACAGGCTAGATCAAAGAGGCAAACTGGCCCAGAAAAAGGACACTTTACTTTTTCGATCGAGTGGCCATCTGGGTTCTAGGCTATCAGTCTTCCATAAAAAAGGACCAAATTGTGTTGAAGTGGGGGTAAAACATTTACAACAAGTAAGTAAAGAGACAACATTGGAACACAGTGGAGTGGTGTAAGGTGATCAATTTCAAACATTCCAACACTGACCATCCAGCTTTTTCAAATCCAAAGCTATCCTACACTCCACAAAGAAAAAAAAACCCATCTCTCCATTCTAACGGATGTCGATGTTAACAAAAATGAGGAGTTGATCTTTATATGGCTCTCTCAGATAAAGGCAGTCTTAATATCAAGTAGCATAGCAGTCAGCTTAGTTAATGAACATTTGCAGAGACGGTGTTTATTTATGTGGTGGACTATTCAATATATATAAAGAGAAAAAGGCTTCTGGTTTGGATGTAATAAGATCCCTGCCATTATAATGAAAATATCGGGAGTATAATCAAGAAGATGAAAAAAAACTACACAAGTACTCTGGTTTTGAAGTGATAGATCCCTGCCATGGTTTAATCGTCAGGAACAGAATAAAGTTAAATAAATAGAAAATTAAAAAGACGAACCTGACAAACACAGCGATATAACTTTAAAAGCACAAGTTGACACTTTAAGACTGGTCACACACCATTCTTGACACACTCGGGGACACAGACTCGCTTCATCGTCACCACACCAGATTTAAGTATTTCAAGAGTCCTAGAGCAACAGTTTGGTACGAGCAAGCATTTCTACGCATTTATTCTCTCACATTACTAGGTATAACTATAACCTACGACGAATCAACACAATACCAGCAGCTGCATTTTGCCACAAACAGGTCCTCGCGACACAAAGTGAAAACAAGTAGAAAGAACATTCATCAATGACTCAAACCAACGTTCACGCTGAACTATATATATATATATATATATACACATACACTTTCATATTTCTCAGCTGCGAATCAGTTCGCAATGATGTCGTACACTAAGAAATGGGGGACTCAAATTCATGAAAAAACCAACCTTTCCTAACTGTCATGGCAAGTTTGGTACGTACAAAAATATGACTATGACCTGTATACTGTACAACCGTGACAGTAAAATCAGAAAAGTACAAACCTGACAGAGCCCAGCAGGCCATGCCACTGATCGATATATGTATGTGGATGTGCGAAAGTTTTATTTGAATCAATTAGAATCAATATGAAAAAATAGCTGGTCAAACAAAAAAAATCTTGCATCCACGGAGATTATTCATCCATTCATTTATTCATTTGACCTAACTGAATAGCCATAGAAACCACACACAAACACACACACACCAAATATTGTTACACACGCATACATAAACACACTTGATATTTCATTCACTTCCAGTCTGAGAAGAAGAACGGAAGACGAGTGGATGTATGCGTCTCCCCCTCACCACAAGGCCGCTCAACCAAACAAACACAAACTTCATGAATGGTTGTGACTTTAGAACAAAAGTGTGTCGTGACGCAGGGGAATCAGGCGCTCATCAATTTTTGGGTATACAAAATTATTGGTATCATCTTATTGTTTGTTTTTGTAAAGTGTTTTATGGCGCTCGCAACTGCATAAGGTCATATGAGCGTGCGGGACACACCTAATATTTTCAGTTGGTAGGAGCTTTTGAATTTTGCCCGGGTGGCGGCCGAAGCCTACTCTTATCGATTTTAGACCACCAAGGGATCTTTAACGTGCGCAATTTGCACACGGGCCGAGATTTTTCGCCCTTGTCCGAGAAGGCTAGGTGTAGATCTTTCCTACCAGAAGATCAGGGGTGTGGTTGAAAGACAGCGGTAAGAAGAAGCGAAGGAGTAGCAGTAGAAAGGCAGCAGAAAGAATCAGGAGCCCAGAGAAAGGGGCAAAGGAGGAGAGGGGGTGGGGGCAGAAGGAGGAGACGAAAGCAGACAACAGAACATTGCTAGAGAGCAGGAAAGGAGGTGAAAAAAGGAGGTGAAAGGAGACAAATTTAGAGAAGAAAATTTTTCTGTCGCTACCTGGATTCGAACCCGTGACCTTTTCAATGAGAGGCCAACACCTTAACCTCTAGGCCACGAGAGCCCCCGGTATCATCTTAAAGCTTGTTCATTTGTTTTGCTTCCGATGAAAAAAAATACCCATCTATCTTGGATACAAGTCGAGATATTGGCGATCGAAGGAGGAGGGGGAAGCTTTTCAGTAAAATCCACACAGAAATGTGTTCTATAATGGACATGAAAGTTGTTGAGCCAAAAAACAGAAATTTGATAAAAAGATAAAAATTCCCAAACTTGCGGAAAAATGAAAGAAAGTTTCTTCACTTTCATTATTTTGACGAGCGCCTGATATCACCCCACTGCCTCATAAATGGATTATAATCCATCAAATTACCATCACGTTGAAATACTCCATCACAATTCACAAGCAGTCCTTTGGCGTTTTACTTTAAACCCTTGCACCCAATTGTAAAATCCTACTCACAGTATATAACAACGAACAACATAAATTAGAACAAATTCTCCTAACAGACACCACGAAACCGTTGTTCTATTTCTTCCTCTGTAGCAACATGTTCGCCAGCAGTATAAGAGCTCTCTTCGAGTTGGAATCGGCAAAGTCCTGAAGGCTGCGCTCGGCCTCCTTGCTGTGCTGATGGGCCAACAGGCGCGTTTGTTCCACTCCGTTACTCTGGCGACCAGAAATGACATTTGTCGGTTTATTCCAGTATAGAAAAGTACATCGACAGAACAAAAGCTAATCTCAGTTCAGGGGGAAAAAAAGTACGGCAATCAGGAACAATGTACCGGTACTATACGAGAAAAAATTTGGGGTTGACGGGGAAGCTGGTGATAAAGAAAAGTCAGCTTGGAAAAAAAAAAGTGAAGTTATCAAATACTGGGCAGGGTCAGTTAGTTTAGTTTTAGTACGAGTTTTACTGCACTCGCAACTGCATAAGGTCATATGAGCGCCAGGAGATTAGAGGTGTTACAAGAGAGTAACAAACATAAAAAAGAAGAAGGGGAGATAAGGACAATAGATGTTTGATAGGAAAGAAGGAGCAAACCACACCAGAGCACCCACCAACCACCCACAGGGCAGGGTCAAAGGCAAGACAATACACAGGAAAACCAGAGTGGTTAAGGGTTGGGTTTGGGTTTATTTATTTGGGTTGAGAAAATGGCCCTACCACTACTGGAACCAGCACACATAGAGGTTGTTTCAAAAGCCATCAGAGTCCTGATAGTCTATTTTTAGCTTGACGAAACCCTTGACTGACAGACAAGCCAATCGGACCACTTGTGGCCGGACACATGACAAAATATACTACGTATAAAAATAGTTGCATTTCCACAAAATTTTTCTCTAACACATAAAACCGATACGCTTAGAATCAGATTACAGTATATAGTAGAGGGTTTTACGGCGCTCGCAACTGCATAAGGTCATATGAGCACTAAGGGGGTGGGTGTCAACAGAGAAGTCTTTACAGGGAATCAGACTTACTCTCCTCACATCTCTAGCTTCAACAGCACAAGGTCTGCTTTGACTATCAACCCACCCCGGAAATAGCAGGTCACAAGAGAGTGACACACATACAAAAGAAGTAGAGGAAAATGACAATAGTAAGGATCAGGAAAGAAAAAGCAGCAGTTCCCTGTTGTAGATCAGGCACAGTTATGAGCGTGACATGAGTCAGCCCATTTACAATTCTACTGTGTTTGAACGAGAAATGTCCCCCCTTTGGGAGTGGCCTAAAGACACTACAGTCAGTGGTACTGCCCCGGGGGGTAGAATCAGATTAAGAAATTTACAAAATGTGGGCGTTGCACATCTTGTTTTATTTTGTTTTAATAAGGTTTTACGGCGCTCGCAACTGCATCAGGTCATATGAGCGCCAAGGGGTGGATGTCAACAGAGAAGTCCAAACGGGGAATCAGGCTTATTCTGCACACCTCTCTAGCTTCAACAGCACAAAGTCTGCTTCGACTATCAAGGCACCCCGGAAATAGCAGTTCACAAGAGACTGACAAACGTACTTACAAAATAAGTAGAAGAAAACTGATGATAGTAAGGAAGAGGAAAGAAAAAGCAGCAGTTCCCCCTATGTTATTCCGGCACAGTATGAGCATGACATTTATAAATAAGCCCATTTACAATTTTACCGTGCATAAGAACATGTTACTATCCCTCCTTTGGGAAAGGCCTAAAGACACTTTAGTCAATAGCACTGCCTTGGGGGGGGGGGGGGGGGGGGGTGTAGCACACCTCAACAACTGGCTGACAAAAAAGATCTATGCTGCTCACCTCCTCCACCAGTCTGCGGGCGTACTCCACGTCGCCCTCGTTGGAAAATCTCCGCATGATCATGGCATGGAGCTCCGGGTGCTGGGGACAAAGACAAACAGACAAACGAGTCAACATCACGGAGGTTTGATGAAGATTTGACTAGGCCGTTTAATTTTAGAAAGAGTTTTACGGCACTTGCAACACAATAAGGTCATATAAGTGCCGAAGATTAGAGGTGTTACAAGAGAGTAACAAAACCCCAAAAAAGAAAGGGGGGAGATAGAGAGGATTGATTTTTTATAGGAAAAAAAGGAGCAAATCACACCAGAGCACCCGCCAACCACCCACGACTAGGCTATAAGATGGGGGTAGAGTAACTGTCTTTCACAATCTGTTTTTGTTTTGTTTGTTTGTTTGGGTACAGAGAAGTACATCAACACAATAATGGTCATTTAGGGCTGGGAGAAAGTCAGACAGACAGACAGACAGACAGACAGACAGACAGACAGAAACAACAGAGGAGAAAATGGTATGGGTTTAACGCCCCTATCAACACTATGAGGTTATTTAAGGGGCGGGACCTCCTAGTTTAACGTCCGTCTCCGATAGGACCGAGCCAAGTGGGAAGTTCGTGTAAAGTGCCTTTCCCAAGGACACAACGTCGGACCGAGCTGAGGCTCGAACCCCCGAACCCGCAATCTTACGATTACGAGTCCGGTAGCCTAACCACTAGGCCACCGACGCCACTAAACAAGAGAGGGAAAGTAAAGAAGTAGGACATACCAATACCAGTGGTGCCCTCTAACCATATCGTTGATAAGTGGATGCCAACAAACCTTTGGTGGTACCAAATTGTCCTGTCCCCCATCGTTTTAGACAAGAAAAATTCAGAAATTATGCAAACTGAGCCCAAAAATGTGAAATTATGCGATTCTGTTAATTTTAACAAAAAATTATAAAGGAAAATAACCAGAAATTATGCAAAAAATTATCAAATTTTGCTAAATTATGCGGGGTGCATAAAACCATGAGGACAGATTGTCCCTTCCACTAGAACAGGGTAACTCTGAAAATGCGGTTTTTGGTTGTTTTCCCTGTATTCTGACGGACAGCGCATAACACATCCTATAAATAACTTTCATCCATATTTAATCTATTCAAATAGTCGTAACAACAGTTGGATTCTAATCAGCTAAAATGTGTACAATAGCTTTATGGTACTTTTTAGTTTTTTCACTCACTGTAAAACTTACAGAAACAGAGTTAGCTGGTTAGAATCCTGCAGCGATGATATGTGAGGCAGCGTGGTGGAACCAGGCTCTCGTCAATTTTTGGGCATGTAGAGTTATTGGTATCATCTTAAAGCTTGTTCACTTGTCTTTATTTGGTTGAAAAAAATATCCATTTATCTTGAATACAAGTCGACACATTTGAAAAAGAGGGAGGTGGGGGTAACCTGTTTTCAGAGGTAAAATTAGTGAGAAAATGGCCGCCAAAGATGAGTTATTTCCTTAGCTTAAGAGTCCGTGGTAACTGAAAATTTACATTTTTTGTGCCTTTAATCAACGCTTTTCTGAAAAATCCACACAGAAATGAGTTCTTTAATGGGCATGAAAGGTGTTGAGCCAAAAAACAAAAATTAATAAAAATTCACAAACTGCGGAAAAATGCAAGTTTCTTCACTTTGATTATTTTGACGAGAGCCTGATTCCACCACGCTGCCTCACATATAGATGAGAGCCTGATTCCAGCACGCTGCCTCACATATTGTAGCAATGAGATGGGTAAAAGTAAAAGCTCCAGCTACACACACTACTGTACCGACCAGACTCTATGTACACAGAAAATAGATCTAGTTCCCCTGCCCCCAAGAAAAACAAATGAATAAAAACTAATGAAAAAAACAACAACAAACAAACAAAAAAACAACTCCCAAAATGCTTTAAAAAAAACAAACAAAAAAACCCCACTACTCCCAAAATGACACCCCCCCTCTCTCCCCATAAAAAAACCCTCCGAAAATGCAACCCCCCCCCCCCCCCAAAAACCCCCCAACAAACCCTTCGAAAATTTCCCCCCCCCCCCCCCCCAAAAAAAAAAAAACCCAACAAAAAACAAACAAACTCCGAAAAACAAAAACCCAGCCCGGCGTGACTGACCTGCTGCGCGGCAAACAAGACGGGCGCGGTGGCCAGGCCCAGCTTGAGGTCAGCGGCCGTGGGTTTTCCCATAGTGGAGGTCGTGGAGGTGAAGTCTAGAAGGTCGTCCACCAGCTGGGGACACACATGGTATTATACACGTCACACATATAGATATATGTGTTACACACACACACACACACACTCACATGTCGCACACACACGTCACAGTCACAAGTATAGTGGAGGTTGTGGAGGTGAAGTCTAGCAGGTCGTCCACCAGCTGGGGGCACGCAGGGTAGACACGTCACACACATAGATATATGTTACACACACACACACACACACACATCACACATGTCAAAGGCACAAGTATAGTGGAGGTTGTGGAGGTGAAGTCTCGAAGGTCGTCCACCAGCTGGGGGCACGAAGGGTATACACGTCACACATGTTACACACATATATCACACACTCACACATATGATATATCACACACTCACACACAGACACATGTCACAGTGACAAGCACAAGTATAGTGGAGGTCGTAGAGGTGAAGTCTAACAGGTCGTCCACCAGCTGTCGACACGCAGGGTAAACACGTCACACACTAGATATGTGTATACATACACATGTCGTACACGCACATGTAACACATGTCACACACATACCACATGTCACCCGCACATGTTACACATCACACACGCACACACATCACAGTCACAAGTTCCACTCACACGCCACACACGCACATGTCATACACGCACATGTCACACGCACATGTTCCACTCACACGTCATATGCACACATCACAGTCACATGCACACACACAAAAACACACACACACACATGTACATGTCACAACACGCTCAATCTACTCTAAGACCATTTCACAATACCAAGATGAAGATGGAGAAAAAGATCATCAGGAATAAGAAAAACAAAACAAACAAGAAGTAATAATACTAACCACATGATATTCCAATGTAAAGCGCATTGAGCTACTTTTTTGGAAATGCGCTATATAAATGTTATATATTATTATTACTATTATTATTATTATGATAATAGACTACATGATTAATTAGGTTGTTTTTTTACTGGGGGAGAATTAATAATAATAATAGATAGCATTTGTATAGCGCATAACCCCGCTCAACAGCAGGCTCTATGCGCTTTACACTATATTATTGCCCCAGCAGACCATAGAAAACTCAGAAACATTCTCAGCTTACCGGGAAGCATACAGTGCAAGCAGCCGATTAAGCGCTCAAACACTAACAAACTCACAAGATCTTTCACTGTCTATAGCTGGGTACCCATTCCCACCTGGGTGAAGTGAGGAAAATTCGTGTAAAGTGCCTTTCCCAAGGACACAACATCGGGTCCCTGACAGGATTCGAACCCACGACCTTACAGTTGCGAGTCCGAGAGCCTAACCACTAGGCCACCGACGCCACAGTCCACAGAATTCAAACTCAAAGCAAAAGAACAGAAAACTCCAGTGTCTCTGTCTACCGCTCACCTGGAAGGCAACGCCCAGGTTCCTGCCGTACTGATAAGCCATCTCTGATATATGCTCATCGCACTCTGCTAGGATAGCAACCTGGTGGGGGGAGAGAAAAAGGAAATTTATAAGTACGTTGCATTCGGTTGTATCCTGCATCTGTCTGGGTGGGGGTGATAGTTAATGTATGAGCAAATTGCAAAATTACCCATGACTTAGGTGTGATCATTTGGGGGGGGGGGGGGTGGAGGGGGTGGGGGGTGAACAGGTTTCCCTTGAGTTATTTAGCAGTCTAATGGTTAATGAGCTGTTCATCAGTACACATGTCAGGACATTTTCCCACACCTCTCTAGAACACACACATACCCCCTCATCTGAATACACATTTTATCCATGTGCATTTATACAGTAGCCTGTCTCCACACACACACATACACACACACACACACACACACACACACACACACAATAGTACAATCTGTCCAGCACACATCAATACCATGAAACACTTAGTCCATCAACAATCAACACACATCAATGTGAACTGCCTTCGATACTCAACATTTTAATCTGTCCGCTACATACCCAATCCCTCACCACATAAAGATACGAACTGCTCTCCACACAATAAATAGCAAGCTGGTTGAATCACAATAAATAATTAGCTGGTTCACACACAATAAATAATAAGCTGGATCACACACTCAGAGACTTAGCTAGCAGTATACTCACTGACTGACATGTGTTGGCTATAAGACTCGCTGTCTTCCTGAATGTCTTTTTTAAGTAATGCGAAAATCTTTCGTTCTCATCTTCTTTTGATCCAAGTTGCATGAATTCTCCTGCGCAAAAAAAATAAAAATAAAATTAATAAAACCATTAAAAAAATTAACAAAAGAACATATATATATATATGTGTGTAATATTTATACCTTTTTGTTCAAAAGTAGACAATGATATTATGCAAACTCAGATACAGGCATCAAAGAACTCTGTTATGCACAGCCTATATATATATATATTTTTAAAAATTCTATTTTTTGCTGCTTCATGCAACTGTGTACATGGATAAAGAAGTTACGCTGGCTATCTAAAAAATCAAAAACAACTATGAGTACAGTACCAAAATACACATTTTTTAAAAACGTTTATATATTTTCACTATAATACACCCTTTTAACATTTATAAATAAGCACTATATTACATTTTTCTAATTTTTTGTAGACAAGCACTTTAATACACATTTCTAACTATAATAAACATACATTTGGCTGGTTGACACACTCAGAGACTTAGCTCAGAGTATGTTCTAGTTTTAGTAAGAGTTTTACGGCACTTGCAATACAATAAGGTCAACAAATAAGTGCCGAAGAATAGATTACATGTTACAAGAGAGTAAAATACACAAAAAAGAAGGAGGGGAAATAAAGACGACAGATGTTTGATAGGAAAGAAGAAGCAAACCACACCAGAGCACCCGCCAACCACCCACAACTTGCTGTACTCACCACTAACTAAATCCTCTAATATAGAGGACAGGATCATGATGACCCGAGTGTTGCCCGTTTTGGAGATGGCTATAGAGGCCTCCGACAGAATGTAGTCACCGGTTAGGATCGACTGGGGAGCAATACCAAAAAATACTTACTCTACAATCATACAATCTCCAACTGTAATAGATCCTTTAATAATCACATATTCTACGAAGGTATTTAAAAGACCTATTGTGTAACCCCCCCCCACCAACAATCTCCTACTGTAATTGAGTTTAATAATCACATATTCTACGAAGGTATTTAAAAGACCTATTGTGTAACCCCACCCCCCCCACCAACAATCTCCTACTGTAATTGAGTTTAATAATCACATATTCTACGAAGGTATTTAAAAGACCTACTGCGTAACCCCCCCCACCAACAATCTCCTACTGTAATTGAGTTTAATAATCACATATTATACCAAGGTATAAAAGACACACTGTGTAAAATAAAACAAAACAACCCAATCGCCTACTGTAATAGATCCTTTCATAATCACATATTCTACAAAAGTATAAAAGACACACTGTAAAAAAAAAAACACCCCCAAAAACCCAACTAATCTCCTACTGGAATAGATCCCTTTTCATAATTACATATCATACAACGGTATAAAAGATATATTGTGTAAAAAAAAACAACAACAACAACAAAAACCAATCCCCTCCTACTGTAACAGATCCTTTCATAATTGCATATTCTACAAAAGTATAAAAGGCACACTGTGTAAAAAAACACCCTCCCAAAAACCCCCCAATCTCCTACTGGAATAGATCCTTTTAAATATTTACATATCATACAAAGGTATAAAAAACATATTGTGTACAAAAAAACCCCAATCTCCTACTGTAATAGTAATAGATCCTTTAATAATTGCATATTGTACAAAGGTATAAAAAAAATATTGCGTAAAAAAAACAACCCCCCCCCCCCAATTTCCTATTGTAATAGATCCTTTAATAATTGTGTATTATACAAAGGTATTGTGTAAAGTAAGACATTGTATTTAAAAAAAAGAATAAGAAGAAAAAAACAAACCCCAATCCCACATCAACACACTCAGAGAGACAATAATGCATTATAATCTAACTGTTGATCAGAAAAAAAGGCGACAGCTGGCTTTAGAGCTAGAGACAAGAGTGTTTTTCGAAATGCCTTCAATTCCAAGTCTTCATTACCACGAGGTATGTCAGTGAACGTTGACAGAACACACGGGCAGGAAAAAAACTCTCACTTGTTACGAGCACGGGGGGAAAAGAGAGACAACAATTATTATTATATAAATGTGGCGCATTGTTGAATGTGTTTCATGGCCCCATCAACGCAATTTAGACAATTTAGATGGGTTGCACCTATATCTATACCCTGTAAGGACAACAGAAGCAGTGAGGGAATAAATCCCAGGAGAATAAAATGTGAGGCAGCGTGGTGGAATCAGGCTCTCGTCAATATTTGGGCATGTAGAGTTATTGGTATCATCTTAAAGCTTGTCCACCTGTCTTTACTTGGATGAAAAAAATATCCTTTTATCTTGAATGCAAGTCGAGATATTTGCGAATGAAGGAGGTGGAGGTCACCTGTTTTCAGAGGTGAAATTAGTGAGAAAATGGCCGCCAAAGATGAGCTTTTTCCTTAGTATGGCAGTCCGAGGTAACTGAAAATTTACATTTTTTGTGTCTTCAATCAACGATTTTCACAAAAATCCACACAGAAATAAGCTCTTAACTGGGCATGAAAGGTGTTGAGCCAAAAAACAAAAATTTGATAAAAATTCACAAACCCGCGGAAAAATGTAAGTTTCTTCACTTTGATCATTTTGACGAGAGCCTGATTCCACCACGCTGCCTCACAAATAAGTCTAATAAAAATATTTTCCCCAAGGAGAAATACGACTTACAGAAGGACAGGAGCTAAGAAGACCGACCAACAACATCAGTAGAACAAAGTTTGTCAATTAATCGATTTTACATTTTGCTCTAAAACAATTTATATAAATCTACACTGATTTTTAAACATTTTAACATTTTAAAGGCTGAAAGCTAACCAACCGTGCAGTGAACTTTTGCGAAAGTAAACAACTTGTGTTTCGCGCGCTCATATGACCTTAGCAGTTGCGAGCGCCGTAAAACCCTATACTACTACTACTACATTTTGCTTAGAAAAAAATGCTATAAACCGTTCAATTTCAACTGTTTTGGATAAAAATATGTTTCTGTTTTGTTTACAAAGATCTCACCCCAGTACATTACATGTACAGTGCAGCCTCTCTATAACGACCTTCGATATATATAACAACGGCCTCTCTATAACAACCTTCGATATAACGACATGCTCTCTATAACAACCTTCGATATAACGACATCCTCTGTATAGCGACACGGAGCCCGGGTCCCCATTTTTCCTTATTATATACCATTAGTAATGTTTGGTTGCCTCTCTATGACGACAATTTTTTCTGGCCCCGAAGATGTCATTGTACAAAAAAGGCAGCACTGTACTAGGTTCAACTACCTGTTTAAAATGTCTCGTTGCATTCTGCATTCAAAATATAACATACTCAGAGAGCACCGAATATTAATTAAATTATTATTACCAAAAATAGAACACCATACCAAAAGAAACCAAAAAAACCCAAAAAACTACAGAAGAAGCAAAACAAGACCAATGGAATGAGCGAGACAACGACGACGACGAGCGAACCTTACCCGGCGCTGTCCGTAGAGCTTGTTCAGACTGGGCTGGCCGCGCCGCGTGTCCGAGGCGTCGATGACATCATCGTGGACCAGACTGGCCGCGTGGATCATCTCCACCACCATGGCCACGATCTTCTGGGACCACAGCATGCTGGGGGGATAGGGGGGATGAGAGTGTGAGCACTACAGTACAGTGACAGCTCTCCATAACTATCATGTTACCGTGACAACAGTCCTTGTGTCCTCCTTAACTACAATGTTACCGTGACAACAGTCCTTGTGTCCTCCTTAACTACCATGTTACCGTGACAACAGTCCTTGTGTCCTCTTTAACTACCATGTTACCGTGACAACAGTCCTTGTGTCCTCCTTAACTACCATGTTACCGTGACAACAGTCCTTATGTTCTCCTTAACTACCATGTTACCGTGACAACAGTCCATGTGTTCTCCTTAACTACCATGTTACCGTGACAACATTCCTTGTGTCCTCCTTAACTACCATGTTACCGTGACAACTTTCATTTTAGTTTTAGTAAGAGTTTCCCGGCACTTGCAACACTAATAAGGTCAAATAAGTGCCGAAGATTAGAGGTGTTACAAGAGAGTAACAAACACAAAAAACAAGGAAGGGAGATAGAGACAATTTATTTTTTTTAGGAAAGAAGGAGCAGACCACACCAGCCACACCAGCCACACCAGAGCACCCACTGACAACTGTCCTTATGTTCCCCTCAATTATCATGTTACCGTGACAACTAACAACCTTTGTATTACAAAGTTCTATCTACTCAGTACCTAGTTTTGAGAAATTTGACGTACAAAATTTTGAGGTCAACAACATGTCAAGCTTTTTCGAATGCAATTCTTTGAATATCTTGATAGCAACTCCAAATAATCTTAAGATTTTGATAGAGCGGATAGAGCATTTGATTTCTCAAAAATGCCATTATTGTTCTTTATTGCTACCAAAACTTATGTTTGTGAGATTTGAAACCAAAAGAGCAAGTATTTATAAGATTAAATCAAAACAATATGGTGGCGATAAGAAAACAGCGGGTAGTGAGAAAGTAAAAGACAAATTTATCATATATGCTCTTGCTCACCTTTCAGCGTTAAGATTGTGTGCATTGCAAGCTTTGGACATGAGCATGGCCACAAGAGGTCTGAACGACTTGCCCTTGCCATCAAAGAAATGGTGAGCCATTGTGCTGAGTAAAGCTTCTTTGGTGCTAAGTAGCTGGGGACAGAGGAGACCACATCAGCGACAATCTTTCCCATATGGCGGAAAACACAGAAGAGGGCAAAATGGCACTTTCTGTATTCCGAATAATATATATATATATATATATATATATATATATATATATATATATATATATATATATATATGGGTCAGGTTTTTATATATATATATATATGGGTCAGGTTTTTTAGTTTTACTTTTAGTAAGAGTTTTACGGCACTGAACTTGCAACACAATAAGGTATGTAAGTGCCGAAGATCAGAGGTGTTACAAGAGAGTAACAAACACAAAAATTTTTAAGGAGGAGAGATCAGGACGATAGATGTTTGACAAGAATGGAAAGAAGGAGCAAGCCACACCAGAGCACCCATCAACCACCCACTGTCAGGTTTTGATATAAGAGCATCACAATATCTTCAGACAAACCATAATTCAGTGAAGTCTCCGTAGTTTGTTGAACACTCCAGACACAGTAGGCACTCCCATTTTGCCACAATAGTACACTACAAATCATCTAAAATAATAAAGATATAATAATATTTTCAACATTTTGATTGGCTTCAACGGACGGACAAACTCTCTGTTCCCTCCAAATTACATTTTATCAACGTTATGCTGTCGTCATCTTCAGCTGAAGTTTTAAAAGACTAAGAGGAGCATACAAAAGAAACTGTCATTTAGTGCAGGGAGAAGTAAGACAGACAGGCAAAAAACAATCCAGGTCTGAGAACTAGAAACACGAGATTCATATTTTAAATTTTTAATAATTAAGTTTTTTGTTCAGTTTGTTCATATTTACGTTATTTATTAGTTCATTGTTCAGTTTCAATTTCAAGGTTAGCCTGATAGAATGTTAAAATATATATCAATAGAGTAAAACATGGCAAAATATCTTAAAAAGCCATTGTAGTGTAAGAAAAATGTTTCTGAACATCACAGAGAAGCTATGTAAAAATTTACCTTCTTGATATCACTGGCAAGAGACGCCATCTCAAACTCCACAAGTTTGTACGGATCGACTGTCACGGATTTCGCAGCTCTGACCGCGTCTTCATGCGATGACGAATACAATCTCTCCTGTCCCGCGTTCTCTGAGCCCACAGAACACAGCGGGAAACCACTCGTCTTGCCACCGGACAGGAACGTTGAAAGACTGCTGGCTGGCTGGTGAAGTGACACACGGCAATGGACATGGTTGTGACGAGTGCAACACCGGCGTAAATGATGGTGACCTATATTTGTCTGAATCTGAAATGAAAAAGAATCGGAGGCTTTAGGCAAAGACTACAGTCTCATCACTGCATATGTACAGGAAGAAAACCAGGAAAAAAAAAACAACAAGTAATGGACACGATTTTACATATAAAAGGCAATGGTCAACATAAAATGAGAGATTTGAAAAAATGTGGAAGTCGTGGACTGATAACAGTCAATCGTTGGACTTTGCAGTATAGATCTGTTTATGATACAACCCCCCCTACCCCCCCAAGTTTCTAGTCGCAACAAAATCACCATACGAAAAACCTCCACTTTTCCTCACTGCAGCTGACTATGCTGTTTTCCTGAGCACGGTAAAACTCACTTTTTGGACATTTTCCTCATTCTCGCAATGCACGTCAACTGTATTTTTCTGACCTCTTAAAAAGTGAACATACTCTGCTGAGAGAAAAGTACATTTAAAGGTGATGTTTTTTTCATAGAGATTTCAAAGAGTAAATACTTAGTGACATTTGAGACTACGATTTCAGGTTGAGTGACGAGTGTTATTCATCAAAGTTTTACTGTACCGGTACCGTAGATTTGTAGATTTCTTTAAAAAATTTTAACCTACATATGGGGACAATTTCTTCTTCTTTTTTTTTAAAGGATTCCAGATTCTTTTTCTAGGATCTCAGTTTTTAATTCATAAATCAATTTAGTCACTTGCTTTCTCACACTCACGCTAGATCTAGATATCTAGATCTAGATTCTAGAATCTAGATCTATACAATATAATACAGTCAGCTGAGCAAGTTTTTTATCGGCCCACTTTTTTCCTTCCTCACTTAAATTGACCTTTGACTCTCCCTGGGGTGTAAAAATGCTGCTATAACTGTCCTAAGACAAATAGGTAATTTAAGTCAATAAGATCACAGGACCTAAACCGACCCATTCTCGTACACGCACGTCGTGCTTTGAATTGTCCTCCACGCCAAAACGACTCTAGTTGCACACGTAGGCAAAGCCTTCTAAAGCCGAGCGGAGACTGGACATATGATACTCATTGCCATTGGGACTGCTATGATGATGGCTCTGAGTTGGAGCACGAAGTTTCACAGAATACTATCAACAAGTAAAATTAGGATTCGATCTGTAAAGCTGTCTCTTACCAGCCAACGTTTCGACCCTTGTTGAAATTAAAGACAATTATTTCTAAAACCAAAAGTAAAAGTTACAAAGTAAAAGCCGGGTGTTTTGAATCACAAGTCACAAGTGCAAGGTCGTTGACAGGCATGATGAAGGTGAGGGGAGGACAAATTACCTGTCTGGCTTGCACTGTAGGACAACATCCTACAGAAAAACTATTCCTTCGAAAAGGAGCAGATGTCACGTTACTCCTACAAGCATATCCAAGGAGGAAAACATTCTTTAGTTCACGAGCAAAAGCAGTTTCTAACAACGCTCGTGTTGACATACAGGTAGCAGCCATGTTTCGTAGTTTCGTTTCGCAACACTAGTCTACTTCCGATTTTATGAAAGGGATGGATCCGCTTGTTTTCAGCTTATTTTGGCCTATTTTTCTGAATCGAGAATTTCTAAAGTTTGTTAGGCCTACATGTGTGAAATTTGACACTTTCCGCTGTGTTATTCGTCACAGCTGTCACTTGTTTTTTAATTTCCTCAGGGTTGTTTTCCTTGCCACTGTAAACTTAGTCCTCGCTTCTCTACAAATGAAATTATGACAAACAGCAGGTGACTGTCGACAAGCGACTCTGTAAATGAAACTCTTGACTCCTCTTGCATCACGTTTTCGATTCGTGTAAATAAATGTTCGCAACAAAATCCTGATTGATTACATGGTCGAGATAGATCAATTCCTATATATATTTATTATATATAATATACGTGTGTACACAC